TTTTGTTGTAGTCATTCCCATTGCTACCTTTGTTTTTAATTCAGAAAGGACAGATGGTACTGAAGAGAGACGCATTAGTGTAGATGTAATCCAAGATATCCATCCTTCACCATCCTTCCAGTTCATGTAAATACCAGTTATACAGTCTAAAACAAAAATAGAACAACTGGCTAGATTGATTCAAGAGATTGGATTGCAACATACAAAAGAGGTTTTCTTATTACAACATGCTGCTGATATAGTACATCAATGAGCTTTCAATACAGTTTTCAGCTTTTGTCGTTTGGCCACAGTATCTACAATACAAATGGGATGCAAACTTTGACTAGCACAAAGTGACTGCAACTTTTAACCTAATTCAAATGAAACAATTTTGGCCACAGTATCTACAATACAAATGGGATGCAAACTTTGACTAGCACAAAGTGACTGCAAATTTTAACCTAATTCAAATGAAACAATTTATCAACTTACCTCAATGGAAAGGTTTTTTTTAACCCATACACAAGGTTTAAAGGAGCAGACAACTTTTAACTGGAAAAAAGAATGGGAGATAACTACTGAGTACAGAATGACTTTTATAATTTAGTGACCTGGTTTTGGGATATAAATTTCAGATCATCTTTAGCTCAGATAAAGAGTTAAAATTCTGACCACATTACAAATTATGTCTTAATAAAATGATATGTTGTGAAAAGTAATGACTAAAAGCCATAAGAACTTAGTTAATTTTATATTAGCTTTCTTGTAGATGTTTGGTGGGGTTATGGTTTTATAGTTGATGGTCAACTGAATTGAGTAATACCATTAAAATTGATAATTTAATTTTGATTGCAAATATTTTAGCTTATAACCAGAAATCATGGATGTTGCCATTCAGTGTGTATCTGCTGTCCAAGCAAATGATATATCCAGTCTCATAAGATATTTAGAAGGGGACATACACCAAGAAGTTTTGGATTCATGCTTATGCTGGGCATCTCGCTTGGGAAACTTAAATATCGTAACTTTATTAGCGACAAGAGGTGCTAATCTCAATGCCAATGTCTGGGGAGGTTTCACACCACTAATTCTATCAGCCATGTTTTCGCCAAATACTGAAGTTTTGAGATATCTAATTGAGAATGGAAGCAATGTCAACAGGTGCTCTATTAAACTTCGGCAGACAGCGTTGCATGCTGCAGCAATACGAGGGCATCTCGAGAGCATTAAAATTCTTCTCGCTGCAGGAGCCGATCCTGATGCCCAGGATTATTTATGGAAGACTCCTTTGTTACACGCTGTCAATAACAACAATGCAGCATGTGTCAAATTGTTGATTCAGCAAAATTGTGATGTCAATATCACTGGATGGGTAAATGGTAGGAGCCTATCCCCTCTTTTATTAGCACTAATGAAAAACAATTTGGAGATCACAAAAATGTTAATCCTGGCTGGGGCTAGATTTGAAAAAACAGTGATTGATTATCCAATGAACATAACAAATTATTATCAGATAGTGGAGGATAATTTAAACATAGAGCTTAGACCAGTTTATCTGCAGCAGCAGTGCAGAATTTGTATAAGACAGCTACTAAAGCCACAATTTATCACAAAGCTCAGACAAATAATATTACCCCAAAGGATTAAAGATTTTTTAAGTCTTTCAGAGCTTAATACAGACAGCTAAAATGTCAACACTACCTTGTTGATGGGTTCAGTTAAACCTTTCAAATCAAGAAATATGACATATGAGAATTGTAATACAAATACATGTTGTGGCACTTAAAAATTGTCAACTGCCAAATGTATAAATTAATAATTAAGAAACATTTGAACCATGTAAGAAACATAACTAGTATTCTGCATTACAGAAGTTGTTTTTGTTGCCTGATTGTATAATATGAAGTAATTAGTGATCGCCATGCTGAGTATTGCAGTTGTATTATTATTATTATTATTATTATTATTATTATTATTATTATTATTAATTTTTATTATTATTATTTTTATTAAGTTCAAAATTTGGGTTCTGCATTATACCACCTACCCATTCCATGTCATCATTTACTGTTGCTTTGCTTTACTAAGAAAATGAAAGGGTAAGCTGTTTGCAGTTTCATTCAAACAAATCATCGTCATTCATATTTTCCATTGTACATACAGTCAAACCTGTGTTAAGCAGTCATCTCCAAGAAATGGCTTTCTAAGCCTGATGGCTCCTTATGTCAGTTTATTTCTTTTCAGTATAAGTCATATGACTGTTTACGAAGCAGGACATTTTGTTGCGACCATTTTGATGCCACCATTTTGGCATAGCAGGACATTTTGGTGCTGCCATTTTGATTCAGCCGTTTTGGCACCTTGATATATGTATCAGACTATATATGTGCTATGTTATCAGGGATCGTCCTGGGCTTGCCGAATTTGCAAATTGCTATTTTTATCCATTATTGGCAACAAAATATATCATCTGGGGATTATTTTGGTGATAACCTTTTTGGCTGTTTGATTTGTACATATCATCATGGATTTGGAGCAGAGAAATTTGAAAGGACCAAAAATGGAAGCCACAAACTTGGATGCACAATGCACTGTAAATAGTTTTGCTGAAACTTAAGAGAAAACTGATTACCTTTGCAGTACCAATTGCTGTGTATAAATACAAAAAAAAAAAAGTAACTCAGAATTATTTACTGTCAAAAGTGCAACTTTATCATGTATAAAAGCAACTTTAATGTTGCGTGTTCATTTTCTGATCCTAAGAGTAAGTTAAAAAATAAAAAAGAGTAAGTTAACAAAATTAACATCATTTTGGATTCAGTGCAATTCATCAGACAACACAGTCACTAAACCTGATGGTATACCTGACAGTCTAGACATATAATTAGTCCCACTTACTTTTGGCATGCCAAAATTACTGGCACCAAAACAGCCGGCACCAAAACGGCTCTGCTTCAAAATGGTCACACTAAAACAGTCGCACCAAAATGGCAGCACCAAAAAGTTACATATCAGACTGTTTAAGACCTGTGATTGCTTAATACAGGTTACATTTAAGACCTGTTTGGCTTTGTTTTATAAATTTTTCTATCTTTAGTCACATTTATACATAGATGCCAACAATTTTGATTTTGGTGGAATTATTTCTGTTTTTAACTTGTGCCATTATGAATATGTATATCTTATTCCAATTTTCGGGGCAAGTAACATTTTATTTTTAATTATTTGCAAACCACATTTTGAACAACTAGTATATCTATGTCACATTATCCATGTTAAAGCTTGTCATGTCCAAGTTGTTTGTGAAAATATTCCTAAGCACTCATATCACAACTCATTATTGACCAATACAAAATAAAAAATCAGCTTAATACTCTGAATTGCTTGAAAAATTAAAAAAACACCTTGAAACAAAGTATAACTGAAGTATAATACCTCTGTGAAAAATTTGTACAAGTTAAAAATGGTATATGCAAGGCATCGACAATGGGTGACTAGAATCGTTTGGGAGTCTTTTCTTGATAGACTTTAGCATGGCACATGACAGGAACAAAGAATGTAAAAGTATATTTATAACCAAACATCACACTAAATCAGCATTATTAAATACTAATAAAAATTTCTAGTGTTATCTTCATAAGCATAAAATTCCAGTTCAAGACTCTGGTCTGGTTTTACTAAGTATTTCAGATTTTCTTCTTACGTTGTGATTTTTAAAATCTCTTTCCTATTGCTTGCTCCATAAAAATTAAGTTTCCTAAAGAACATTCCACAAGCTTAAAGAATTATACTGCAGTCCTAAAAAATCTTAAAGTTTCTTTAAAGTTGTCCTGCCCAATAGCTGCTAGAATTTTTTTGAAAATTTGAGGACTTTCTCCACATTTTAAAGAATAAAATTGTTTCTGTGTTAAATTTTTAATCTAAAATGTGATATTGTTTTCTCTCTCTATCACTATCACTGACAATTATATAAATAGACCAGATAGTGTAAAATCTCAGTTTGAAGAGAAATTATTTGAATTTAAGTGAAACTCAGCTCAGGATAAAGGTTTGGATATTGTATATTTTAATATCTATGCATGTAATGGAATGAAGGTTTTGATATGTTGTTATAGATATTTCAGACATTCAGCTTTTCTTTTCTACATTAGCGATATTTGTTACAACATGATTTGTATATTAATTTTTTTCTGGAAATTGTCTTAGATGGTTTTGAAAATAGATATGAATTAATGTAAGAATGAAAACTTGAATTTTATTCAGATATTGCCACATCTTTTGTTGTTTTTTTATCAAACATTAGATGCCTTTATATATGTCATATAGCATTTTTTAAAAGCATGCTTAGTAAAATTTAAAGAGATTTGAAAATTGAATAATATCCTATATACTTGCTTATAAGATGGTTCAGTACAAATTGATACTGTATATACTCACGAGTCCAACTGTAAACTGTACAGACCCAGATCTGCTGTCACATGGTGCACTGGCTGCTATGGGTCTATAAAATTTGTTAGGAGTAAACAGTAAAACGAATAACATAGACTCTGATATGCAGGCTCATAATACTATGGCAGATCAGAGCTTTCTCATTGTTTGCAGCTTTACTTGTCTTACAGATGAGTATGTTTTATTCTGTATGTTTTGCAATGGTGATGTTGCATTTAGATTCAGATTTTTCCTAGGTGTTGAATTTGTGTTAGTAATATCTTTTCTCTTCATGCCATATGCATATTCACCAACAAAATTGACACTGATCTGCCATCATATAATGCACTGGATGTGATGTGATTTTGAATTTTAACATTGCTTTAATAATTTTTCAGTCATTTTGTTATGATGTCTGCAGTGTGGCAGTTTATAGTGATGTCTAGCATTGGGACATCATGCTGCAGACATCTTAGCATGATGTCCCACCCAGTCAAATTATCCTGACATCAGGCCAACCAGTCCTAACACTAACCTCTTAATACTGAGCGTCAAGCAAGGTATGTGTTAGAACCATTTTTGTAAGTCTTTGGTATGACTTGACCAGGGATCGAACCCGCATCTTCCTGCATCCCAGGCAGACACTCTAACCACTAGGCCACCGGAGCGGTTCATAACGAACTGGCAGATTGGAGTGTTTATTGTTTGTTCTACTGATTACTCCTATCAAACTGAACAGACCTAGATGTGCCAGCAGATCTGGGTCATTGCAGTTTGGAGATGAACTTATAAGGAAGTATAGATGACTTACAGTGTATTATTTTGTGATAGTTATATACCATTCTTGACATATACAAATCTGATTCAAAATGAGTCCAATCTTTATTAAATTGATCAGACAGGCAACAAAATTGTGTGACCTTTGCAATCCCCGGTCTGTTAATATTTTAATAACCACATAAATAAAGAATTACATTTCATTTTAGAGAGAGTTCTCTTTGGAAATTAAAGTTTCAAATTACATTTTTCACTTTCATAAATAATTGGATCGGTAAATCAGAAGATTGGTGAACAATTACCTCATATCATTGTCCTTCAGATCTCCATTATATCTTAAGGTCTTATTCATGGTAATATTTACTGCAGAAAAAAAAAAAATAAAATAATTGGGGACAAATAGATCTGATTTAAATATCATAGACATTTTCCCATTAGTGAAATTAATTAATTCTTTAGGTATCCAAACAGACTCTATGATTACATTTCTGAGTCACTGTTGGACCAATCATCTAATATAGTGAGTTAAGACCAAACAAAAATGTAAACTTGTGGGAAGTAAAATTAATGTTAAATGTTTAATTCATGGCAACATTGTATCATATATTTAAACAGATTATAGTATCAGTTTCATTTAGATTGTAATGAATAAAGAAATGACACCATATTGAAGATGATTCCTTAGATGTCAAATACTGATACAACATTTAAAGGATAACACATTAAATTTTTATAATGTGCTCTGTTTCTATACTTGTGTGAAGATAAAGTTTTAATAGATCATTATCATGAACAAAAATTTATCATGCTTAATAGGTTCTTAGATTTTGTCATTGCAGATCTTGTGTGTGTATTGATGGGTGTGTATACTATCTTCAGTTACTCAGTTATTTCCCTTCAGGGTTGAGGAAATTTGTTTTTAAACCACTAGTCCAGGACAAGTGGTTTCAGAAAATTCACTAGTCCCACCTTACTCTTCACTAGTCCCACCTTTCTTTTCACTGGTCCCAAAATGGTAATCACTTGCCAAGATTTGATGAAATGTATGTACTTAATCGATAGAAAAAAAATCGAAATAATATACAACATAATTATTTCTTTAAAATATTTAATTTTTCAAAAAACATTGATTGTTATAAATTTGGCTTCTTCAGGTTCATGTATATATGTTTTATCTGATGGATTTGAAAATATATCCATGTATATGTCTACCACCTGCACCAGCACTAAGCCAGCAGTTGATAACTGTGTCCTCGAGCTCTGGTCCATTTGCATAAATTTTCATCTAGGTAAATTTCCTACCTGTGCCAGTTTTGGATATGGTTTGCAGTAACTGCAAAACATCTTTCCTTCCAAGTTAATATATTCAAGCCTGGGATAACAATCAACCCAATGCTGCTGAAAATTTCTCTGTCTCTTAGTAGTGTCATATTTGACATTTTTTGCCATCATGGATTGTTGCTTATGTCTCTTTAGAGAAATAGCTATGACACACTCAGTGTCTGTCTTACATTTTATCACTCCATTTTCAAACACATTTACCTTCTCCAAATCACCATTATTACCATTCTTACGAAAATAGTTTTGCAAACTCATTTTATCCACAGAGTATCAGCTTGCTTGATAACTACTTCTAAAGTGATCATAACATCAATTTGCTCTTTTAAATATGAACTGAAACGGCTTATTAATAGTGTAATTGTTTCACTTCAAATACAATATCACACGTGGAAGTTAATCATCTTTATAATCAATTATAAATTAAAGAATAGTTAGTCATTTAATCAATTCATAAAAGAAACTGACACTGATGTCAGTAAAATATCTATCATTAATTTAATTATTTAATTACACTGACTCGCTGGATTAAAATTATGATCTAGATTGAGTAAACTCATTGCAGTAAAACCACTTACAACACTGCTAATTGATCATAGCTTTCCTTTGATGAGTTTTGATTGTTTTTTAGAATGTAAATGTATACATAAGGAGGGGCTAGAATGAAGTATTCAGTACACCTGGAGTGCATGATTGGCTAAATAAAGGTAGATATAGTGATTAATGCACAAAAGTAAGGACTAGCCCATCTTTTTTAAAAAGCGATTGTCATTGACTATCAGCTTGGAAAATTTTACTTGACCAACTTCAAAAAACTTCAAAAATGACTAGTCTGGGATGTCAGGCTATGGGATTTTCTCAGCCCTGCCCTTGTATTTTCTTACAACCTGAACAAAATAAATGGGATGATTGGATTAGACCAAGCTGTTGTAGAAACAATGACCCTATAAGCAAAGGGAGAAAAATGTTTTGCAATGTAATAGTATTTTAATTTATATCAGAATTCTGATAGTAATTAGACTACAAAGCATACATGTACCTTTATTATGTAACTGTACACATGTACCTTTATTATATAATTGTATATGTGTATCTTTGTTATATAACTATTACTGTTTATGTCCTCTGCCCAAATAAGTTATTGAACCTATAGAAACTTTGTAAGAAACAAATTTTCACTATCAGTATCTGTTTAAAATTTAAAAAGAAACAACTTGTCAATTTTTTTCATATTTGTCAAATGTTTATTTCTGAGGTAAGAGTAAAAGAATTTTAATGTTTTTATAAAACTTAGTACACATTTCAAATTAGTGGTCTAGAGATGTCTTTTGCAAACTGATGATTGTTTGCTATCAGTATTTTTTTCTTATTTGGCTATGGAAAGAATTCTTAACTTTTCTAAATTATTCACAGATTTTTTACATTCTCAGAATGTATATAAAAATTGTGATATGTGTATGAAACTTAATGTAGACATAAAATTACTTAGGTACATTTTAAAATGAAAATCTTTAAGTGTCAATAATTTGTGTTGCCAAGAAACAAATACAAATTGTTCCAATTGTTTGTAAAATATCACTAGAAACAAATTTTTTATATATATATATTTTTGAAACCTGAACACAATCTACAAACTGTTTGTTTTCAGGATGTGTAGAAAATACTTCATCCTTATACAGAAATGGTTTGTAAATGTCAAACCATTAAAAAGGAAAAGAACTTAAAAAATTCAGCAATGCCCTTTTTTAACTTGTATAATGATCTGTGTCAGTGTAAGTAACAAGTTTGGTAAAATAGACTTCACTCAGAAGTGTTGTGCATTGGTTGAGATACCAGGACATCCTTAAGACACATGTCTAGAGTTTTGTTAAATTTAGGGGAGTATTTGTAAGGGGTGGGAGAATGTCATCTCTCGTTTTGTTCTATGCACAACTTTGAAGCAGAGATATGTTCCTTTAATGTGTGTTTGAAATTAAAATTTAACATCTGAAGTTTTATCAGTGTTTTGCAGTTTTGTATTACGTAAGTGACAGTGGCTATCACACTGAAGTACTTCCACACTAAAATCTTGTCTCACTTCATTAAGAATAAAAACTTAAATGTACATATTGACATACATGTGACTGAACAAAAAAGTCAGCATAAGACAAATTGGGAGATTTGCCAGATTTGTTTTTGAGTTTTAACTTAAATAGAGACAGGATTTTCTGTGAGAATGGCAGATTTTTCTTTGTGGCACATGTTTTTGATTTCATTTTTACAACAAGGAAACAATTTGAGATGCTTTCATCCATTTGTTTGAGAACTTTTGTGCGATTTCCAAGTCCAAGAACATTATTTTGACTAGATCTGAAAAATAATTTGCTACCATAAATGGAAGATTATGCTCATCTATGAAGTTAGAAAATAAAAATTTCTCAGGGTTTCTGGATGAGACATATTGATTATCTTACCACCATAGTGGATTTTAAAATCAGCTTTCTGTGAAAGGCAAAATACATGTTCATGTCCTTTTATCCTTTGAATTTGATTCCAACACTCGAGTTCCCATTCCCAATCATCACTATATTTTTGACTGATATTTAGTTGTTTAGAATATGGCTTTTTAGCATGATGAGATAATGCATGTTTAGGCATCTTGGCCAATTTTAAACACCATAGCCAAACATGCAACTTAAGCTCATTAGTAATTCAACCATAAACATTTAACATCTTTTATCCTGTCCAAATTACTGTTGATCACACGTAAAATAGTAGAGATTCTAGTCCATCTCAACAACTTGAATGACTCAGCCAGCTTTGCAGAAAGAATCAAAATAATGGTAATTGTTTTATGCTCATCAAGTTCTGTAGCAATCCAGACATAATCAGATAATGTCTTAATCCTTTCAGAATTACTCCTGATAACACAGATAATTCATTTCAACAAGCTTCCAATACTGAATCAACCGACTTGGTTAACAGAATCTAAAGGATGTTAATTGCTGATGACACTGAAAATCAGCAACTAAATTATCTTGGACTGTTTAGTCCAGTTCACAGTCATGTGACCTCAGTATATGTGACAAGTTTGATAATAAGCGAAATCCAAACATAATAATGAGGTGATCTTGGTTGTGCTTGTTGCATCTTTGGAGGCCCCATTTCAGATATGATTTTGATCAAACTTGGTATATTGGGTCTGGTAATTATTAAAACATCATAATCAATGTATATTAAGAAGCTTCTTTAACATCTGATTGGATGATATTTTTACCACTCTTGAAGCCATCTTAAATTTTAATCAGATGCAAATTTCACTTTGAATAAAGGGTTATTTCAGCTATATCTTGCACCAGTTTAATAAGGAGCCAGATAATTGCATAATAATTAAGAGATCTTACATGTTAAGTATGAAAAAATTGCAGTGTTATTTTTGTTCCTGTTATGATGAAATGTAAATTTGTTTATGTCATCAAGATTTTAAATTAATATAAGTATATTTGAGATCTACATATATTCAGAAGGATGATCTTGCATTTATTTGGCTGATCTTCTTACCACTTGGGAGATATTTATGACCT